ATGTACACAATGGAATACTACTCAGCTATAAAAACGAATGAAATATTGCCATTTGCAACAATATGGATGGACTTTGAGAGAATTATATTAAGTGAAGCAAGTCAGGCACAGAAAGAGAAATACCACATGTTCTCACTTTTTGGTGGGAGCTAAAAATAAATGAATAAATTCACACACACACACAGACGGGGGGGGGGAAGAAGACACAACAACTACAATTCCTTGAAGTTGATATGACAAACAAACAGAAAGGACATTGTTGGGTGGGAGGGGGGCGAGGGAGGAGGGAGGGAGGTTTCAGTAATGGGCCACAATAATCAGCCACATTGTATTTTGACAAAATAAAATAAAAAAATAAAAAGAAGATGGGGCTTTAGCTTAACCTGTACTTTTTAATTCCTTGTGAATTAAATACCTGAAGCAAATATGGTCGGTTTTTAACATTTGTTAAATCTGGGTAGTGAGTACAGGGGAATTGGTTATAGCAGTCTCTTAATATTTAAAAAATATTTCTTAATGTAAGTTTATTTTGTCTATATATTTGTTCCCAGTGCTATAAATCTGCCTTCATGTACTTATTCATGCTGGTACTCTATCGTGTACGTACAAACATATTCTCTTACATTTATTCATTTAACAAATATTTATTAAGCATCTTCTACATATCAGGCACCCTTTTAGACTCTATGACTACAGCATTAGACAAAACAAAATCCTTAACATCATGGAACTTATATTCTTGTGGTGGAGGCAGGTAATAAATAAGAAAATACTGTATACAATATACCAAATGATGATAAGTGCTAAGGAGAAAAAAAAAATTCAAGATAGAGGTAATAGAGAGGCCTGGGAAAGGTGGAGGGAGGCTTGTTATTGCACATAAGGTGATGAAAGAAGTACTCTCTGATAAAGTGATGTTTGAATCTAGACCTAAAGGAGGTGAGGAAGTGTGGTATGTGAGTGTATCTGTTACCACGTATACGTCAAGTGGTGACATCTCCCTAATTTACTTCTCCATTTCAGACCTCTCACCTTAGGCGTGTTTGATTCTTCACCTGGATATCTAAGAGATATTCCAAAATTAATGTATCTAAAACTGAACTCCTTCTCTTCACCCCCAAGTCTGATTTATCCACACAGCCTTGCCCATCTCCGTTGAGCTTCATCCTCCTGGTTACTACTCAGCCCTAAAACCTTGACGTTGTCTTTGACTCTGTATACTTCATATCTAATCAAATATGATATCTTGTTGTCTCTGTTCCTCTTTTCATCATCCCCACTGCTACCACCCCCATCTAAACCATCATCATTTTCTACCTGGATTACCTTAGTAGCCTCCTAACTGGTCTCTGTGCTTCCTCCCTTGTCTTGTACCCCCACTTACCATCACACTACTCAAAGAGCTCAAAGAGTGACTTTTTTTAACTACACTCTTTTTTAGCTTCCTCCTTTTAAGGTATCTTTTTGTTTGTTTTTTGTTTTTTTTCCTCACAGCTGTCCTGTATGGGGTTCCAAACCTTTGTGTTGCAAGCCTGCACTCTTACCAACTGAGCTAACCGGCCAGACGCCCTAAGAATGTTTTAAATAGAGGGAACAGTCTGTGCAAAAGGCTTCAAAGAGGGAACATTCCTGGCATGTTTGGGAACAATAAGGAGAGTGATGTGTCTTAAAGCAGAGTAAATTAGGCAGAGAATAAAGAGATTGAAACTGGGGCAGATTATGTAGGACCTTTAGGTGATTCTAAGGACTTTGGCTTTTATTTTGAGTAAGATTGAGGTTTTGAACAGAACAGTGACATGCTCTGACATTTGTTTTAAAAGGATCACTCTTGTATGTAGTAATGACTTTAGTGGGAAGCGAAGGTAAGGAGGAAGACCATTTGGGATCCAGGGTAGTAGTGGTGGAGATGTATAAATACTGTTAAATTGTGATAATATTCTTGATAATATACTACTATTAATTATCAGTGTCATTTTAGTCCTTCATTTGCATGGGTTGTGTGAAGAATGTCTTTCATAAAGCCAATTATTTTACCTTTATTTCAAAAACTTAAATAAATTATGTATTTATTTGGTAATACTTAGTGAGCTACTGGGAGTACAGTGGTGAAGGAAAAAAAGTCCCTGTCCTCATCGAGCTTATATTCAAGTGGGGAAGTCAAACAATAAACAAATATAGCATATAATGATAGACAAGTGGTCTAAAGAATAAAGAGGATAGAGAGTGATGAGGGTGCTGTTTTGGTTAGGACAATTAGTAAGTCCTTCTCTGAGAAAGGAACATTCAAGCAAAGACCTGGATAAAATGAGAGAATGAGCGCAGGAACCAAAGTGTAAAGACTCTTACATAGATGTGTGCTTGGTATGTTTGAGGAAAGGCAGAGGCCAGTGAGGTTGGAGATGTGATCGCAGGCTGCAGAAAAGACTCTGTGGCCTAGAGTAAGGAGTTTGGGTTTTGTTTTTAATCTGACAGGAAGCCATTTGAGAGTGACATGATATGATTTACATTTTAATAGGTTCATTCAGACTGTAGAGAATAGACTGTTGAGGGAGAAGACAGGCAGCTTTGACATTGGTTAGGTGGCTACACTGTGGTCCAAGTGAAAAGTAGTGATACCTTGGTCAAAAGTAGTAGTGGTGAAGGTGTGGTACAAAGTGATCAGATTTCAAGGTAGATTTCGAACGTAGGGTTGATAGAATCTTGCAGATAAATTGGATATGGTTTATAAGACAAAGAGAAAAGTCAAGAGTGACTCGAGTTTTGGGACTGAGTACATGGTGGGACAAGACTTCTACTGTAGTCATGGTGAATATGAGGTACTGTTAGACACAGAAGTGCAGGTGTTGAGTAGGCAGTCAAATGTTGGTCTAGAGCTGGTGGGGGGGGATTTTGCAGGTGGGACTAGAAATTTGAGACTTCCCAGTGAGAAGCTGTTTTTTTAAAAAACCATGAGACTGAATGTATATCATTTAGAGAAAGTAAAGAAAAAGGAGATCACACTTAATGATCAGGAAAAGAAAGAATGCTACAGTGGAGACTGAGAAGGAGCAGCCAGAGATTTGGTGGGACAGTGTTATGCCTCAAAGCCAAAAAAATGGCTCACAAAGGGAATCATCAGTGGCATCAAAATCTGCTGAGAGGTTGAATAAAGTAAAAATTAGGAATCAACTGTTATGTTTGGAATCATGGAAGTTGTTAAGGCATTCTTTTAAGGAGTGGTGGAGATCAAAATCTGATTTACAGTGGATTCAGGAGCTCATGGAAAATAAGGAAATAGATGCAACAAATTACAGTGCTTGAGGAATTTTAGCATAAAGAGCTGCAATATCTGGAAAGGATTGTAGAATCAAAAGGAAGGTATGCACACGAGTAGATATTTCTTAGTTTATAATTTTTTTTTCCCTTTTTTGTCTTTTTTCGTGTCCGGCAACGGATCGCAACCCTCAGTGTCGCACCCGTACCAGACCGGGACCGGCAACGGGATCGCAACCCTCAGTGCTGCACCCGCACCTCGCTCAGCCAGTGAGCGGGAACCAGTCTGTATGTGGGATCCGAACCCTTGGCGGGAGCGCCGCCGCACTCCCAAGCGGCGCACTGTAGCAGTGCGCCACCGGGCCGGCCCTTAGTTTATCATTTTTGCCCAAGGTTTGGACTTAGAATAAAATCTAAACTGTTGTGACTTAGTTTTGTTTTAAAGGGTCTAGTTTTCCTTGTGTTATTGCTGTTGCAAGGGGATAAAAAATGTTAATTTTATCTCTGAAAGAAGGTGTACAATGATTCCAATAAAATACTGACAAAACCAACTGAAAATAGCTAGCAGAGAGAAATCTGTTACTACATTTTAGATACTATATACTAGAAAGCTCAAAGAGATTCCATTTTATCAAATTATTACCTTTTAAAATTAAGCAATATTTCTTTTTTTTTTTGAAATTCAGTGGGGATCAGCAGTGTACTTATGTTATAAAAAATCGGTGGCCAAGACTAACACTATATCTTACAAAGCTGGTAAGTATAATTTTTCATGGAATACTTTATATATCAATGTGTTTTGGGGCCCAGTAAGGTTAAAGAAAAAAAACAAAACCTGTCTGTGATGTGTTAGTATCTGAACTGGGACTACAGTCCATATCTTTTGATTCTCAGTTTTGTCTTCATCCATATGGTTATTGGATGCTTAACGGAAGATTAATTTTAAAAGAAGTTGGGGTTTTTTTAAGCCTTAGGTTTAGATAAATAACTAATATGTAGATGCCAGTTTTCTTTAACTTTTTAAGTAAGTAGAGATATGGAAAAAGGATAGTTATTTTTCTTTTAAATACATGTTTCTTTAATATTTATGTTAACTTTAGTCAAATGTGTAGGTCATATATAATTGTTTCATAAAATGAAAAATATTACGAATTTGTGATTTTATAAATCAGTGTTGAAATTTTCAGTTTCCAGAGACCTCAACATATCACATACTGATCTTATTTGCAAGAGAACAGATTCATCCTTAAAAAATATATTTTTAAAATTAGGGTCCTAGATTCTTAACTTTCTCTTCTACCTTTGATTTTCTAGGACCCACAATTCATTACTATTTGTATACTTTATGTACAACTTTACTATTACCTCATGGCCTGAGTGAGTAGTTCACAGTTAACTGTAGATCCTCATGGGACCTACTGGCTGGCTAGCATATAGAGAATTTTAGAACTGCTTTGGATCTTAGTTTATCTAGTTCATCTCACTTTATAGATGAGAAAACCAGAGTCACATAGATATGTGATTTGTCCAAAGTTACAAGACATTTTTGGCAGTACCAGCCAGTCTTATTCCCAGTTTATTGTTTTGTCTTTTTGGCCATGTCTAGTTATACTTTCCACTTGACACTAAAGGCTTCAAGGTCAAAGAACCTATTTTCTGTTTTTAGTCCCATAAAATACAGTACAAGTCTCTGCTACTAGGATGTGTTCAACAGAAGATGCCTGGACCATTTTCCAGACTAACGTACCTAAGTTGAAATCCTACGTCACTTGAAACTCTATCTTCATATAATCTGGGATTATTTAGAACCCAGGCTTGAATTGAGACTATTCTGAAGATATTGTGAATGTTACTCTTCTGTTTTTATGAGTAATTTTCTTGTATTTGTGCTAGAAGTTACAAGTTACATATATACTCCTGTGGGATATGAATTTTAGTATGTAAAAGCCTCTTGAGGGCACGTTAATGAGAGCTGGTGAAGTGGATATATGCTTATAACAATATAGAAATTTTTAAAAAATTAGTATGCTTTAGGGTAGTGTGACCACAAACTGAATTTTTAGGAGTGTGTGTGTGTGTGTGTGTTTCTATAGGATTATGTTTTGGTTAGCCTTAACCTAACTTTTGTGGATGAAGCTTGATAATTATCAAGCAGTTAGTTAATAGTTATAATGTTTAAGAATGGAGATCTATATTAATCCTACTGAAGCATTCAGAGTTATTTGATGAACATATATGTATTGTTTTGGCATTCCAGATGTTCGGAGTTATTACTTTATTAAGCATTTTATCATCATTCAAATTATAAGCACCTAAATTCAAGAGGTGATAACCTAATATTTATTGTTGTTTTTGTAGGTCTAATTTGTAGATATCCTCAAGAAGATTATGAGTCATTCTCACTACCAGAATCTGTTCCCCTATTTTGTTTACCAATGGGTGCAACTATTGAATGTTGGCCACCAAATAGCAAATACCCTCTCCCTGTATTTTCTACATTTGTGTTAACTGGAGCCTCAGCTGAAAAGGTATTATGTGTTTCAACAAATGGTATTTGCAAATGTCTTATACATTTTCAAGTTTTAAGTTTTATATAATGCAAGGAACAGTAGGAAAAAAAACTGGTTAAATTGACGCCATTACACATACTTCTTCCACTTGGTTAAAATAACTATATCCAGACACATGGGAAAAGAGAATTTTCACGCTATCCCATCCACCCAAATCCTTTTCTTTGGTGAATATGGTGAAAGATTTTCTTCATCATTAAATGTTGGTCCTCCATTGGTTCATTTTCTGTGATAAGGAAGCTTTGAAAGTAATACAGGGTCTGGCTGGTTAGCTCAGTTGGTTACAGCACAGTGTGATAATACCAAGGTCAAGAGTTCGGATCCCTGTACTGGCCAGCTGCCAAAAAAAAAGTAATACAGAACATATTATTAAATATATAATGTGATTTAGGATCATAGACCATTATAGTTGGAAGGGATCTTGGAAGTCATCTAGTTTAATATCCTTGGGCCTGGCCGGTTAGCTCAGATGTTTAGAGCACAGCCTTTTAACACCAAGATCAAGGGTTTGGGTCCCCATACCAGCCAGCCACCAAAAAACAAAAACACAACAAATCCTCATTTTATGAACAGGAAAATTGAGGTCCAGAGAAATTTAGTAAATTGCCCAAAGTTTGAGGTTGTATTTCTGTATTTAAATTTCTATCCCACTTTCTAATAAATATTTTCAACTATTTTCTTTTTTTTCTGGCAGCTGGCTAGTATGGTGATCTGAACCCTTGACCTTGGTGTTATCAGCATCACACTATAACCAAGTGAACTAACTGACCAGCTCTCAACCATTTTCTTATAGAGAATATTGGTACAATTGCCTTCACTCTTTATAAAACAAATGCAATTTAATTAGAACACTTTTTTTCAATAATAAGGAGACACAAGAATAGCAGTATATAGTTCTTATATATGTCAAGAAAGCAAGAGTGATCTATGTTCACCACTGTGTTCCAAATACCTGGCATCTCACCTGGCTCATAGCAAGCATCTATTAAATATTTAACTGATGATGTGATTTGGATAAATGATATAAAGCGTATTTATTAAACATATTACTTGTTTTTCAGATCTATGGTGCTGCTATTCAGTTTTATGAACCATACTCTGAGGAGAATCTCACAGAAAAACAGAGACTTCTTTTGGGTTTAGCATCATCAACAGATGGGAATTCTGATAGTTCTAAAACAATTCACACCAGCAAATGCATCTGTCTTCTTTCTCACTGGCCTTTTTTTGATGCATTCAGGAAATTTCTAACTTTTCTGTATCGTTATTCCATCTCTGGACCTCATGTCCTTCCAATTGAGAAGTAAGTTAGAAGTCTTCTTGTTTCAAAGTTTGACAGATCTTTTTGGACTTGACAAGGTATAGTAAGAAAAAAAAAAGAAAGAAAACATGACAGATCTTTCTGTTATGTGGCATATTTGTATGGCAGTTGAGTAAATTTTATGTGGAAATTGGATTTCTCAAGATTTATTTGAAAAAAAGAGTTGGGTTATTTCAGCCAGGTGTTATTTCTTCATTATACTTTTATGGTTTTATTATTTTAAATAATTTTATCTCTAACCAAATGTAGTAAATGTTTTATTTTGTGTTTTGTTTTTAATGCTCTTATTAAATTTAGAGATCCTGGGCTGGCCCGGTGGCGCACTGCTACAGTACGCTGCTTGGGAAGCGCGGCGGCGCTCCCGACGAGGGTTCGGATCCCACATACAGACCGGCCGCTCACTGGCTGAGCGAGGTGCGGGTGCAGCACTGAGGGTTGCGATCCCGTAGCCGGTCCCGGTCCGGTACGGGCGCGACACTGAGGGTTGCGATCTGTTGCCGGTCATGAAAAAAGACCCAAAAAAGGAAAAAAAAAAAAAAAAAAAAAATTTAGAGATCCTGATCTGGAGAAATATTGGAACTTTTTTTTTTTTTTTTTTTTTTTACTAATTTTGTAATTCTTATTTTATGTATAAATAAAGTTTATTATGAACCTTTAAAAATATTTCTTACTAGTAGATATCATGAACTTAAAGGAAAAACTTGATTGTCTTTTCTTTTTAGAGATGTGCTTTAATATCACTAAAATTGAATAATGTTTGATGCAGTAAGACCTGATACAAATGAGATATAAACATCTCCAGTGTCTGTTCAGCTATTGTTTACTTTATACTGCCTATCACTTAAGCTCTTTGTGTCTTTAAGCAGAATTTTCTGATTTTTTTGGGGGGGGGCGTTTAACATTTTATTCTAAGAAATATTTAAGGAAGAAATAGGACATATCTTCTAGAAAACAGAAAAAAAGGACAACACACAAACTGGATTTTACCAGATAAATACCAAACTCAATGACAGAATTTTCTGATTTTAATAACAGTTGGGAAGTGATAGAATTATCATAATAGCATTCATTGTATGATGTTACTCTTCAATTTTTTCTTGCCCTTTTCTATTCTCATGTCAATATTCTAGTCTAGTGGTTCTCAGATTTTTTGGTCGCAGGACCCCTTTATACTTGTCAAAAATGAGGACCCCAGAGAGCTTTTCTTTGTGTGTTTTATCTATCAACATTTATTGTAATAGAAATTGAAACTGAGAACTGTAAAAATATTTTTAAATTCATTTTTAAAATAATAAGCCCATTGCATGTTAATATAAATATCTTTTTTGAAAAATAACTATTTTCCAAAACAAAAACATTTAGTGAGGAGAGTGGTATTGTTTTACATTTTTGCTAATTTCTCATGCCTAGTTTAATTGAACACAGCTGGGTTCTCATGGTTTTGCATTCAATCTGTTGCAATAGTTGTTTTGGTTGAAGTACATGAAGAAAATCTGGCCTCACACAGATATGTAGATGGAAAAAGGAGGGACATTTGAATATTATCTTTTCAGAAAATAGTGGTTATTCTTTTTTTTGACACTACGCTTGAGAAGTGGTAGTTTCTTACAGGTTATTTGAAATGCGGAATCTGAAACTTTAGCAGTGAACTTTCTTTGTCTGTTACAGTAAAATCTGTTAGTCTTTTCATTCTTTGATTCATGCATGATTTTGAAGCATTGTGCATTGGTCATTTGGAAAATACTGGTTCACCAAGTTAAGATATCTTCCAAATGTAGACACATTTCATTATCAATATTTTAGGGATCACATTGTTAACATCACCTATTTTATCAGAAAAGAATTAGGGTATTGGGAGCCTGTCAAGCTCATGGTAGCAAACTTCTAATTTTCACTTGAAAGTTTGGTTTTTAATTATTGGCAACAAGTACTGCTGATTATTTTCCTTGAAGCAACTGGCTCACTTTGTTTATTCTCATATAGGAAATATCTGCTGAATATCCAATACTGAGAAACCTTAATTTGTCTGTCATCTTTCAGACAAAAATGTTGCTCTGAAAAAACACCAGCTAATTCACCCACAATTCAGTTGCACAAGTGCTTTTCCAAAATCAAGTTAACTATTGTACTTGTGTATAACAGCAGAAGTGCTTTATGCATACTTCCTCTTTCATCATACAGAATATTTTTGAAAATGTATACTGCAGAATCAAAATTTAGTAACTATTAATAGTATTTACTGCTTTGTTAAAGACATTCTTAAGTGAAATTGACATTCTTTTACTTCAAGTGTAGTAAAGAATGTAACAACTATAGTACTGTTTGGTGCCACCGCCGTGATTCATAGTAAGATGTCACCAGTTATAGCCACAGTACTTTTGCATCATCAGTGCAAATGTCAACACAGTGAAAAAGGCAGGTGATGTCTTAGTATTATTGTAAAAGTAGTTTTGACTCAGAATGGGTCTTGGAGGTGTTTAGGGGTTCATGGATCACACTTTGATTTCTGCTGTTCTGACTACTTCATGATTTAAGCAGTGGTACTCATTTCCCTTGTCTTTTTTTGTTTGTTTTCATTGTGAGTACCTCAAATGGTAGATAGAGACTGATAGCATTATGCCTTTTTTACGTTTCCCATCATGTCTGGTGGTATCTTATACATAATAAATAGTGAAAGCATGTTTGTAAAATGAATAAATTTCTCTTCTAGTGTTTTCTATTCAGTTGAAATTATCTCAGTTGTGAAACCAAGCTGATTTTGAAATAATGTTTAAAAGAAAAATAATGCAGAAATAAAATAGATTATTCCTAAAAAGGATTTTTCACTATATAAGGTTGCCTTTTTTCTATCTTATAGTGTTCAAAACAAAACCAATTGATCCAGCTTCGTATCCATTTTATTCTGGGAGAAAACTTACAAAATCAGTAATAGAATTTTTAACCTATCATTAGTTGAAAGTATATTGTTCATCTTTTAAAAGCAATTAAACTTTCATTTTTCTGGAGCACCTTAAATGGTTGTTTCACTTCCAAAATATGAGCAATTGACTAAAAATTATAAATGTAAGAATTAGCTTCTTTGGTGATGTCCATATAACTGATATATTGTATATTATTTACTTAGGAAAAGTTAAAATGGCTTTTCATACAGTGATGACACAAACATTGTGTTGAATGTGAGTAACTATTAATGTGAAAAGTTATTGGATTTAGGTATAAGCAACTTTAATGGGACCAATAATTTTTGGTGGTTGTTTGTTCACTTGTTTTCATAGTATTAAGGGTTTTGAAATTGTAGTACACAGGATTATTGACTTAACTTGGACTTGTGATGATGTGTTGACCTTTATAGCCTATGGTATCAATTCAATTTTTGTTTTTTTGTTTTTAAGGCATATTTCACATTTTATGCATAAAGTTCCTTTTCCATCTCCTCAGAGACCACGGATTTTAGTTCAGGTAAGGTTTTCTTGATGTGGGGGACCTATGAATTATTATTGGCATTATCAAAACGTAACATAAGAATTTTTTTTTTTTTTTTTTTTTTTTTTTTTCTATTTTTTTTTTTCCGTGTCCGGCAACGGATCGCAACCCTCAGTGTTGCCCCCGTACCGGACCGGGGACCGGCAACAGGATCGCAACCCTCGGGGTTGCTCCCACACCTCGCTCAGCCAGTGAGCAGGAGCCGGTCTGTATGTGGGATCCGAACCCTCGGACGGGAGCGCCGCCGCGCTCCCCAAGCGGCGCACTATCCAGTGCGCCACCGGGCCGGCCCCTAACATAAGAATTTTAAATCGGGAAAAAAATCAGATGATATCTAAGGAGAACAAGATGCTATTTGTTGTTGGAGTTTGGGCCCTTATTGTTTTATTAACTTCTTCCCAGACATTTAATAATTTTCCTGAAAGGGTTGAAGAGTTAAAGAAGTAGGCAGAAGGGGCCGGCTCGGTGGCGCACTGGATAGTGCGCCGCTTGGGAAGCGCGGCGGCGCTCCCGTCCGAGGGTTCGGATCCCACATACAGACCGGCTCCCGCTCACTGGCTGAGCGAGGCGCGGGAGCAACACCGAGGCTTGCGATCCCGTTGCCGGTCCCCGGTCCGGTACGGGGGCAACACTGAGGGTTGCAATCCGTTGCCGGACACGGAAAAAAGACAAAAAGACAAAAAAAAAAAAAAAATCCTGATTCCTGCCAGCAATACCATGGGTCTTTACCTAAATAATAGTGGTCTTTTGAACCAGTGATGGAAAGGTTGTAGGAATTTCAAGTGATCTGGTAAAGGTGGCCAATGTTTTATGGGCTGGTAAGTCTCAAAGTTAAAACACATTCCAGATTACAATTCTGTTTGTTGGTCTGTCTTTTCTTCTCTCTAAACATGAAGACCCCAGTGCAGGAATCATGTCTATCTCGCCGCTTGGGAAGTGCGGCGGCGCTCCCGCCCGAGGGTTTGGATCCCACATACAGACCGGTTCCCGCTCACTGGCTGAGCGAGGCGCGGGAGCAACGCCGAGGGTTGCAATCCCGTTGCCGGTCCCCGGTCCGGTACGGGGGCAACACTGAGGGTTGCGATCCGTTGCCGGACATGGAAAAAGACAAAAGAAAAAAAAAAAAAAAAAAAGAAGTAGGCAGAAGTAGACATATTGAACACACAGAAAAGGGCTTCTCCCCCTAAATTTGTCCTAGGTATTTGAAAGTTTGTCCCTTTGGCAATCATTTAATAAGTTAAATGCATTAGAATAGATAATAAGGAAAAGTTGTGTTTTCATATATCACAGGAAGGAATGCCCATATTTTTGATGTTACAGGGTAAAGTTTAAAATTAAAATAAATTATTTTCCCTATCTTGTTTCCCAAATGAATGTATCTTTCCTTCTTTGTTTATATTTCTTTTTTGTTTGTGCTCTTGATATACAAGTTGTCTGTTTATTGAACCATCATTTATGAAGTGATTTATATAAAAGAAATGTTTTCGTATATTATCATTATATGTTCTTTACTGTGTTTATCACAGCTCTTAATGGACCACCATTCAACATTAGAAATCATTTGGCAAATAGATATTTATAAATTTGTGGAAATCTGCATAAATTTGAAAACATAGATAGAAGTAAATTATAGTATTGATACAGATAAAATGTCTAGAAAAATGACATTTTTTTTTTCTTTTTTTAAAGATGACCGGTAAGGGGATCTTAACCCTTGACTTGGTGTTGTCAACACCACTCTCTCCCAAGTGTGCAAACCGGCCATCCCTATATAGGGATCTGAACCCGTGGCCTTGGTGTTATCAGCACCACACTCTCCCGAGTGAGCCACAGGCCAGCCCTAGAAAAATTTTGATGAGATTTACAGTCTGCATAGCCACATGTCATCCCTGTCTTCTTGGAATTTACTTCCAGAATATATATATTGCACACTAGTTTGAATATACACAAAAATTTTGTTTTATAGTAGAAGCTGGTGCATTTTATCCATTATGGCCCATATACTAAGTAAATATTTTAGTCTTTAGATGCTGTCTGATCTCTGTTGCAACTACTCAGCTCTGCTGTTACAGCACAAAGGCAGCTAGATAATATGTAAAGAATGAACATGGCTATATTCCAGTAAAACTTTATTTACAAAAACAGGCAGCCTATGGATTTGCCCTGTAGACTATAGGTTTGCTGACCCTAGTTTTATGGTATTAAATGAATAATTTAATCTTTCAATGTGAATTTGCTAAAATGGCATCACTGTTGAGGATAGATGAAAAGACATAGGATTCAGAGTAGGAAGAGTTAGCGGTTGGAAGGGGCCAGTGGTCAGGACATAGTTTTGGGATCTTAGTAAGTGATATAAACCATTCCTATACTGGTAAATGGATATAGTGAAAATTCATGGGCATCATCATTATTCTGTATGTGTTTACCAGAAATTAGTGTTTTAAAGTTCATCTTTATGTTTCAAATACGTAATTTTAAATCTTCTTTCAGTTATCACCACATGATAATCTGATTCTCAGTCAGCCTGTCTCTTCACCTCTTCCACTGAGGCAAGTAGAACTTCATTTCTGTTTATGCTTGTCTAACTCTAGTGTGAGCTAAAGTAACATTAAAGTATTTTCTCTCTTTCCTAGCTAAAATTTGAAATGTTGATGGCAATATTTCTCATTCAATTGTTTCTTATCTAAATTCCTTTTACTTAATATTTGGGTTATAGTTTTTGAAAAAGAAAGAAAAACTTTTATAATAGTTTTTGATATTTTGTGTATTCAGTTATAATCATCAAGTACTATTACACAAATAGGCATATTTAATTATGAGAACAGTTATTTTCAGCTTTAATTATTCTCTGAAGGTCCTTCAAATGCAGTTAATTGTAAATTTAACCAAAAGTTTTTTTTAAGTTATAATTATTAAACTGTAGAATGTTTTTCACCACCTTAAAAGTTGAGAAATTATGAACTATGTTTTTTCTATAGTATCTTTTCTAGATATTTAATTAGCTGTGTAATTTTTCCATCAGAGTAATAGTTACAATGTAATTAAGTTATTATGTAGCATATACCTAAGGGAGACAGCTGCCATCTTCGACATTAAATTTGTAAGAATTGCAGATTATTTCATCATTAGCTCTAAGCCTGAAGTGACCAGTGTTTTCTTAACCTTTGTTTGAGCTGAAAATAAGCTAGAAACATTGACTAAGACTATGTGTAAATGATTTTAAATTATCCAGAGAACTTTTTTTGGGTAACAGCTTTATCGAGGTATAATTCACATGCCATATAATTCACCCAATTAAAGTGTACAATTCAATGGTTATAATCACAGAGTTCTAGAACTATCACTATAATAAATTTTAGAGTATTTTCACACCCTAGAAAGAAACTCTGTATTCTTTAGCAGTTAACCTCCTTCATTTTTCTCATTCCTACACACATACACACACCCTCTCCAGCCCTAGGCAGCCAATATTCTATTTTCTGTGTCTATATATTTCATATAAATGAAGTCCTGGACATTTCATATAAATGGAATCATATAAGTTGTGGCCTTTTGTTTCTGGCTTCTTTTACTAAGCGTGTTTCCAATGTTTATCCATGTTGTAGCCTGTATCAGTACTTTATTCCTTTTTATTGCCAACTCATATTCTGTTATATGGATATACCACATTTTATTTATCATCACTGGGATGTTTCTACATTTTGGCTGCTGTGAGTAATGCTGCTATGAACATACACAAGTTTTTTGTGGACCTGTATCTTCATTTCTCCAAGAGACTTTTGTTATTAGTTTTCCTTTGTTCAATAATAATAATAATAATAATAATAATAATAATAATAATAATAATAATAATCCAGGCTGGCCATTTAGCTCACTTGGTTAGAGTGTGGTGTTGATAACACAGGGGTTAAGGGTACAGATCTCTGTCTGGGCCAACCTCAAAAAAAAAAAAAAAATTCTGTAAAACCAGTTATTTAGCATTATATAGACAAAATAATGGTTGGCTTACTGAATTATTTCCTTTTTCAGTCCAGCATTTTATTACTGTATAGAAAGTCTAAGTTTGTTGTTTTGGTTTTTAATTTGCTTTGAATGTGCATCTCATCACTTTGTAGTTTTTGATTTCCTCTTCCTATTATCATTAAAATAGTAAGGATTATCTACTCAAAAATTCTAATTTTAATATGTATATTTACCTTAAGGGTGATTGGCATGTAAGTCAAATATAGTTTTCCTGGTAATTACAATAGAAGATGTGCCATGTTCAAAAAATTTCCATTAAAGGATTTGTTTTCAACCAAAGCATTCCTTTTATAAATTGAATTCTTTATTTGGACATTATCTACATGGCAGATCTTTTTATATAACACGAAGCAGATGACTTTTCATTTTCCATATTGAATACAGTGCAGAAGAATGAATGATTTTGAAACCTCATAAAACTGCATTGTTTTCATAGTGTGTTTATGATATAGTGTTTTCCATGCGTAAGAGCAGCAATCACATTTAAAGTTGAATATATAGTACAAATCATACCCTAATCATGAACTTTTCCCGTTATTTTAGATAATGAGGTGTTTGGATCTTTATTTTTTTAATTATATATTTTTGTTTGGATTAACAGTGGTGGCAAGTTTTCAACACTGCTTCAGAATTTAGGCCCTGAAAATGCTGTGACACTTCTGGTGTTTGCAGTAACAGAACATAAAATTCTCATTCATTCCTTACGGCCTTCAGTGCTTACTAGTGTGACAGAGGCATTAGTGTCTGTGAGTATCACAGTTTCTCATTGGCAATCAGTTTAATTTAAACTTAATTTATTTATATAATTTAAAACTATTTTAATGCTTAACTGAAATTCAGAGAGTAATAAATTTTTATGTTGTGGAAGCAATTTTAATTTCCTGACCACTAATTATAATTAGCTAATTTATTATCAATCTATTATTATCTAATGACTGTAGGTAATAATATTTAAAAGATAATTTTTTGTGTATGCTGATAAATTATGCTTCAGTGTCAAAAAGCTAAATATTCTCTTATTTTTTGTTTATCCAAGATGATTTTCCCTTTCCATTGGCCATGCCCGTATGTTCCTCTCTGCCCACTGGCTTTAGCAGATGTCTTGAGCGCACCATGTCCGTTCATAGTAGGGATTGATTCAAGATACTTTGATCTCTATGATCCTCCACCAGATGTCAGTTGTGTTGACTTGGATACCAACACCATTTCTCAGTAAGTACATTTTAGTGATTTTGCACCTAGTAATTTACAACTTCACACTATATGTATATAATTGTATATTTTATGATTGCTGAGTAGGATTATTTTGAGATACATTGTTTTCTTTGTATTTGGGGTTATTACCATCTTTGAATTAGCTCTTACTATGCTTTGATAGAGTAGATTTAGGGAATAAAGGTGGTTTTATTGGGAAGAAAATATACCTTTAGTCCTCAGGCTATAAATATTTAAGAAACATTATAATCTTTATGCTTACTCAGAAATTTAGCAGAAGGGAAATTGAGATTAGAAATAGAAAAAGGTTATTTTTCTTTAGTCAGATGAATATGGGTGAAATCACAAACTGAATTAAAACACTATTCCTTGATTAGTACTTCAATCCTATTTCTAATCTTGCATAGTACTATTAGAATAGTAACCATTATAGGAAAATCAATATAATATTTTACAATTTTTAAATGACACCTTTACACTCTAGGAATCTAAGGATTTTATATAAGCTTCCTTCTAAGTTGTAGCTATTGGAACTGTATTTTTTATAGCACTGTTTCATTGTGTCCCTTATTTTCAGTTTAAACATACTTAAGCTATTCAGGGAAGAAGAAATTGATGCAGTGACCACACTGCATCCACAGGACTTGCTTACAGTAACTATGATTTAGTCTGTCACTAAAGCCCAAAAGCTAACATAGCTTTTACATTCAGATATGTAAATGTGGGCTATGGCCATACCACCCTAAGTATGCACAACCTCATCAGCTAAGCAGGGTTGGGCCTGGTTAGTACTTGGATGGGAGACCACTTGGGAATACTAAGTGCTATGGGCCTGAAAAAATATAGGTAGGTGTGAAATAAGTTTTCCTACATTTTTGAATAAGAGCTTTTCATCTGAAAGCCTTTTGGTTTAACTCTGAAATCTTAAATTAGTTCTTAGTCTTGTCATATGTCAAGAACTCAAGTGCTTAAACTATTAGAAAAGTTTAGTAAAAACTCGATATGCTGTTATAAAGCATATATGCTGTCAAAAAGCATTTTATAGAACATCTAACCAAGAAAATATGGGATATATTTTATGCACAAAAGTCATTTTATATATGGGATCAATAGAGTCAAAGATTCTTTACCAGTGACATTTCATTCTTTACCAGGAATATTTAATTCTTTTAAATATTAAACTAATACATCTTTTCTTTGCCAGTTGTTAAATGTTACATGATGTAATAATTTTTTAAATTGAAATTAGGGTGGTAAATTGCTATATACTGTGTTTATTATGGTAATAAGTTGCATTTTCCCTCTTTTCATACCCTCTTTTAATTGTTAAAAGAATTTTTCTTCCTCCTTACTATTTTCTTTCTGTTTTGATCACTAATGAGTTAAAGAATCAAAGAAACATGAAGTTGTTTGTGCTCATGAATATTCCTCCCTTTTGATATTATAACCCTTCCAAACCTATGGGAGCACTAAACTAGTGAACAATTTGCTTTCTACTTTCCTTCAGCCAGCATTTCTGAAGACCCAACCTGAAATCTTAAAGAAAAATAAATCTCAAGTATGGAATTTGGGGTTTCCTTTTCCCTCTTTGTCTTAGATATATGTAATGCAGAGTATATATTCTGAATACCAAGAAGTTTCTGAAGAAAGGGAAAGAAATTAACAGCTAATATATATATATACGAGGCATAAAGCTGCATGCATAGCCTAAGTCTTCTCATATTATTCTCTGTACTTTGTGAGGTGGTTTTTATTAACCTCTCCAGCAGATAAGGAAACCAAAGATCAGATTTTAAAGCAGTTTATCAAAGGGCATATAGCTTATACTGTCAGAACTGGAATTTGAAGTCATCAGAGTCCAAAACTAATACTTCTCCTAATTATTGGGTACCTATTTATGTAATAGTAGTCTTGTAAATGGAAGTCACCATAAGTAAAAATGCAGAAGGCAATCATAGGTCAAAAATCAGGCACTAGGTATCTCCTACCTA